GGCAGTGAGTGGGGATCTGGAGTGGTGGGGGTGGGGGTAGTGGGCCCAATCTGGGACAGCAGGGGAGGGGTGGGTGGGGTGTTTACAGTACAGTGTAGCTTAGGTGTATGAGCTAGGTCCAATGCATCAAGAGCTAACCGTGTCCTGGAGTGGCATCACTTTGAGCCACAAAATAATGTGCAGACAATGCAGGAGTTAGGAGCTGCAGGAGCTGCCCAAAATTGCCTTGTAACAAGGCCCTGATTCTATGAAATTTTGAAAAAATATACAATGCTTTCGTATGAAAATGGCAGAAATAAACTATTTTCATTGAAAGCTTATATGGAACTATGAAGGGGGAAAAAAACTTTTTAATTTTTTTTCTCAACAGATAATAAAAGAAAACACTTTTTAAGTTGAAATTGCTTTATTTTTGAATCCATAAATATTTGTTACTGACAAAAGTGGAAAAATCCTTAAGACTCTAAATTTTACTAAACTGATAATATTTTTGTTTACAGTACATATAGAATGTGCTTTTACAAGTAAGTATAACAACAAGAATAATACAGAGAAAAACAGTCAAATACTGCTCATCTTGAAGCTTATTTAATGGTTAACCAAGATTCTGTGCAAAGTTACAGATACAAATGTACTTTCTCATCAGTACTATCATAGAATAAACATAAACTGGGCTAAAGCACAAAAAAGATCACTTAACCCCTCCTAGGAAATGTTTTCCCCAAACTAAAAATATTACATTAAAATTCTCTCTCTCAATAAATTCTTTCTACAAAATGTCTAACTGATGTACAGAATTATGGTTGTAAGAAGCTAATACAAGTCATGTGAGCAGAACTTTAAAAATGCCATGATTCTCACATCTCACTGCTCTTGGTGTGTAGGACCAACAGTGAGAATTTCTACAGATCATGAAAGTCACAAAAGAGACACAGAATGTCATTTCTCTAACTACTGAGATTATGGATAACTTTTAGATTTACATAAATATATAAGAACAGAAAAATTCAATTTTCCCTCAGCCCACAGGCCTAAATGCAGATTTATTTTAGCCAGCTGAATTTAGAATTCAACATGGTCACCTTGACTGAAACCCTAAACCACCTAAAGACAGGCAATTACTGAATGCTTTTATGGTCAGCTTGTAAACATTCAATATACAAGTGACTATTTTCTACGAAACAGCGCAATACACGATTATTGCTAACACTTTTTATGATGACATTTATTTCAACTTTTCACATATTTCCCATAGTTTTAGCTCCCTTGAAACAGACTAGCACATGGAATCCACATTTATTACATATTGTCCAGTAGAATTACTTCTTCCAGCTGTACACAATAAATCTGAAACAAAAACTAAGATTAGCTGTGTCTCGTGTGTAAACAGAAAATGGCTAATTGCTCACAAAGTGTAACATATATTTCCATTCCTGTTAAATATTACCCTGTTTTATGATGACTTTTCTCAACTACCGGGACTATTTTACTTTTTTTCTGCAGTATGAGTCTGTTCCTATATGATCAACACTCAAATCTCAGACTGCTGCAGATTTCTGATGGGCGTGCTTTTGTGGTAGTGATGTGTGTGCAGCTGGAACAGACATAATCAGGAAACTGGCTTTGCAAGTGGTCAGGAAAAAAAAGGCAGTGGGTAGAAGTCAAGTCCAGATAAGGAAATGAGAGCTTGTATCCCAGGGGTAATTGTTTCCCATCCCAACCATCCCGAAATCCCAAATAATATAAACTCATTTATAAAAAAAGAGCAAAGAGCATTCAAACATTGAAAAATATTGTCATTTTTTTCATTAAAACACAATTTTATGCCTTTAAAACACTTCTGATAATAAATTTGTTAGATTGTTTGTGGTACACTAAAAACCGTTTCCCCTATATATCTCAAGAGATTAAATTATTACAGGGTTACTCAGAACTTCTTGGTTATATGCTAATATACAGAGAGTTTTCTATATAGTTTTATATAGAGAGATATAGATATAGATACATTGTTCGATAAAACTGTGTATAATCCACTGTTGTACAGTGCTGTCTGGTTGTACAGTCCTGCCTGAGGCATGCAATGGGAAGGAAATAAAAATGCCATGTTCACAGGGCATTCTGTTTTGAACCTCTCCTCTTCCCCTACTTACATAATCAGAAGTGGACACTCCACAGAGGCTTGTGACTATCTGGGAACAGAATAAGCATTCTGTGCAAAGTTACAGATACAAATGTACTTTCTCATCAGTACTATCATAGAATAAACATAAACTGGGCTAAAGCACAAAAGGGTTGGAACAGATGAGTCCAGCATCAGATGGAGGAATCCTGGCTGTGTTCTGCTTATCTCCCCAGTACAGAATGACATGGTGGTTCAGATACGAATAGAATAAAAAAAGAGAAAGTGGGGCTTGCGTGTGCAAGAAACCATGGGGATTGCATCCTGCTACTAGGACTGGATGCATTTGCCAAAGGAAAAGGAAATGGAAGGGTTATCTCACAAAGCTGCCCTACACAGTGCACACTCCTATTCTTAATAAAGTCAACACCTGCTACTCTAGAGACTATATTGCAGCACATGTTGTTTTCCTTTTATTCAGACTAGATATGCCAAAACAAGGATTTCTAGCAAACCAATAATAATAATAATTTGCTCTTCTACATTGCTTAATCTGTAAAGGATTCAAAGCACTTTATGGATATTACTGAATTAACCCCCCACAACACCATTGTGAGGTAAGGAAGCATTATTATTATGCCCACTTTGCTCACGGGGAACTGAAGCACAGAAAGGTAACAGTGTAAATCACTGGCAAAGCTCGCACAGCTATCCAGAGCCATGACTTCCAATCACAGACCTGAGTCTTTTCAATAAAAGCCTTTCAGTACAAGTGATGAAAAGAAACTTAATCGAACACAACTGCTTGTACTGAAACTTTGTGATAATTACCAGTTTACCACATTATACAAGGCAAGTCACAGAAATGCGTAGTTTCTGGAAGTAAAGGGAGACTTTCAGCGCATGAAGCAGTCTTAAGAGGAACTTCTGTGATCTGTCGTCATAGTATTGGAATCCCTGAAGAAGTTTCATACTGCTAGTTTCCGTGGAACAAATCTTACTACAGCTGCATGAAATCAAAAAGTATGTGTATGGGAGAGAGGGAAAAGAGCGAGACATGCTGTCTTTGGAGGTTTATTATCAATGCTAGGATGGGTAAGAAAGGGCCAGTAATGATTTTCAAATGGTACAAAGGAAGGCTTTGAAATCAAATAGCTCAGAACACAACACAGAATCTACACAGGTACTTGAGAAAATAATTTCAGTGTCTACACTTTCCCTAGAGGTTGTGGAAGCTGCAAGTAGCTCCAGTCTGTTCAAATTAACCATGGTTCTTGGACTGCTGGCAATTTGCTGAAGGTAAACCTTTGGCATGGGTTTGGCTTGGAATAACTGGGCTGAGGTGGTAAGAGGTGGCCTTGGGAAGGTAGAAAAGAGAAGTCAGGAGATCTTGTGTGATACGCTTGAAGGAAGCCTTCCTTTTTTTCTCCTTCCCCTGTCAAAACAGGATGATTTACTTGGAGTTTATGGCCTCATCCCAAAGAGGTTTTTGTCTCTGAAGGCATGAAATAAAGAAAGAGCATATAGACCAGAGGAACCCTCCTTAGATCCATGAAACAAAAAAGTATTTGTCAGCGCTGGAATACATTCTTATCATTGTCTCTTTCATTTTGGGTGTAACTAAACCCACTGAGCTAGGGATTGAGGTAAGTACACCCCAGAAAGCAGTGAGACATGTAATGGCCTTTGTTTACCTTTGAGCACTGCAGCACAAGTACCAAATGGGAACTAGCTTTAAAAGCCCTCCTAAGGAGATTACATTTCCACAGTCAGCCTTGCAACATTGTAACCTGGATGCCTCATATCAAACCTGGGCATGGAAGAGCCGGGGCATAGAGACTAGAATCATCTTGCAACATACGCCTTTTGTTTGAGGGTGGCAAACCCAAGCTGAACTACTAGGAATGAGAGAGGGGGAGAGGCAGGGCAAGGAGACTGAGGGGAGGCATCAGTTAAGGAGTATATAGGCTGAGGCTGTTAAGAAATGTAATTTTCAAGTGTTATAAAAGAGAAGGATGATTTGCCACTTAGGAACACATTTCAGTTGTTTTTATTCAGCTGTTACATCTGGATGCTCCTCTAGGAATTTGAATGAGCTAAACTGTTGTATTATTTAACCCTGAATGAAACAGAATTAAAGGGTATGCTCCACTTTCCTGCTATCGGAGGATGCAGATGTAACAATGATATCGAAAAAGCTTATATAGCTATAGCTGTGATCTCTGTCCAGACCCAGAGCAGGGGGTCTAATTAAGGGCCTAGTTACACATTACACCGTGATCTCCTTAAATGTTGATCGGTGTTAATGCTAGCTCAAGTTTGGAGCAGTCACACATTCAGGTCAACAGGAGCCTGTAAGACTGAAAGTTAAGAATGTCCTCTCCCAACCCATTCCAGGCTACCCCTCTGCCTCCCAGGGCTACCCCAGATCCGCCCCCCCCCGCAACCTCTGGGCCTTCCCTCTACCCTTCAAGGCTCTTCCCACCCCCTAGGTCTCCCCCCTTACTTACTTGTGGCTGCCCAATCTATTCCAAGGGAGCAGGCAGGGAAGGGTTAACCTGTCTGCCTGACCACCACTGCCATTGGAGGGCTGCTGTTCTTCTCAGGGATGAGCCAGTCCCAGAAAGCAGCAGGGGCAATGGTGGCTGGGCAGGTAAGTTAACTTTTCCCCGCCTGCTCCTCTGGGACAGACAGTGGGGTCAGCTACAGATAAGCAGGGATGGGGGAGTGCAGGGCAGTGAGTGGGGATCCAGGGTGCTGGGGGGAGGGAGTGAGCCCAATCTGGGCGAGTGGGAGAAGGGGGTGGGGAGGTGTTTACACTAAGGTGAAGCCTAGAGTGGGTACACCTTAGTGTAACATGAGGTACATAGCACAGATCAGAGATAAACCTAGGCTGGAGTGGTGTAACTTTAAGCTGCCTAAAGGGTTCTTAAAACTAGTTTCAGATGTTAATGTTTGGACAATCCAGGGGTCAAGAACTCCAGGAGCTAAGTAGAATTAACATGTAACAAGACCCTAAGAGGAATGTAGAGGAAAGGCAATGGTAGGTTAGCTACAGAGACTGGTGGGTAGGACTCAAGTTGAGTGTAGGGAAAGAGTAAAGAAAGATTGCTAGTTAAATGAGACGGTATTAGGGTATATAATTATATAGTTATTCATGATCTTTTCCTGCTGGTTGATCCATCTTTCTCAGTTATAAAATCAACTTGTTCATGGGATGGGAATCTGAACATGTGGCATTACTGTGTAAATGCTGAAGAGAAATCAATACTACCATGGGTGTAGTCGCTTGGTGTGGGATGATAAACTGGCCTGTAACACTATGATATCCTTCGCACACACAGAGGTATATTCTAGTTTGATAGTTCTGCAAAATTTAAATATGAACTCAAAAAATAAACTCACGAATGAAGGGCCTTTGAGTCTATGTACAGACATTCAGTATCTTATTATCATTATACATCAGATATACCACATGCCCATTTAGGATATTTATGTTAGATATATAATTCATGTGCATGAAATGTTATTGTCTGCTCAGTTAGGATTAGGGCTCAATGAACCTGCATTAAGAAAGGTTTTTTAGGCCATTATTATTGATTCAGTGATAGAAAAATGCCCATCTGGTTTTCTGTAGACAGTGTTGCACTTTTGTTCAGGCAGTTTTAGCAGAAGAGTAGTCAAATATTGAGTTCATGATTGTAACTGAAAGGAACATTTAGACCAAAGGGGCAAATTGCGGCTCGCTGGAAATTGGCCAAAGCCCTGCCCACTTTTCTCGAGGTGACTCCAGGGGACAGCACAGCCCAGCACCAGGCTGCCAGGGGTGGGGGCTGCAGCCATGCTGCTTACCCTAGGGCATGCTCAGCATGGGGAAAGCTGGAGTGGCTTGGCGGTGCAGGGGGGAGGGTGGTTACCTCCACAACTGGTCACTCAGCATCCCCCTCTGACTTTGGTGGAGGATCAGATGTGGCTCCCAGGGTGAGTAACTCTGGCCACCCCTGATTTAGACTTAAAAACAGAATTCTGAGGAAGTTGATTGAAGTTAAGTACTAATAGAAATAAAAACATTTAGGGATAAATTCTAGCTTCCTGAAGTCAATAGGAATTTTGCCATTTCAGTAGAACTAGAATTTTAACCTTAGTGTATAAGAGTAAGTAAGTACTTGTGTCTTAGGCATTGCATTGTTGAAAAGCTGAAAGAATGGAAATCCTGTCCCTCCTTTGTATTTGCAGGAGGGAGACTTGGCAAAATTTTGATGAGTGCTGAAAAGGCCTAAGAAACATTTCAGCATAATTGTGCTTATTAACACATCAATCTTACTATTTCCTACACTAAGAGAGCAGATGATTTGTAGGCACTAGTATATTTCTGTTTAATGAGTATATTTAATATAAACAGAACTTTAGCCAAACTAATCATGTCACTACATGTTATAACTCCTAGTAAAGGTTGCCTTTGAAGTCACTCAAAGGTTCAGGAAGAACAGCTACTTGGCAACTCACTAACATCTTTCTGCCTGGCTGTGACACTTAGCAGCCAAGGGCAATGTCCTCCAGTCACTGAAAGGTTCCACAGCAGCCCCAAGGGCTGAAGTGAGAGATGGCAACAGGGCCCCACCCTGCTATTTCCTTCTGCCATGCTTCATTTCCTCCTTCCTATCATGGGCTCTCTGAAAGAGAGTCTGCTTGTTGCAAAAAACATTAGTCTTAAATTCATAAAAATAATGAGTTTGTGCAGATAAGCCCTTGGAAGGTGCCAACTACTGCTATGGCTTTCTTAATAGAAGCTGATACATGTCAGGAAATTTCTCCACTATCCCTTCACTATATCTTGAATTTTCTTCTCATGTCAACAACTTTTGGATGGTTTTAAAAACAATGCAGGTGTGACTGTTGGAAAAATCTTTTCAGATGCTGAGTTAGAGGTTATCTTGGCCAACAAGGCCACTGCAGTGTGGGGTGCTGGGGCCATCCCAGTCCTTACTGTTTATCTACAATGCACAAGGTCATATCAAACAGTCACCTCTGTTTTGCTTGCTGTGGGATAATGGTGGTATCCTGGGATAAAGTGAAGTTGTTCCACCGTGTTGTGCCGTCGGGAGGCAAATGCTTGGCGCTTAGCAGAAGTTTGGTTCATACTTAAGGTATTGTATAAGTTATTTGAGGCACTAGGATGGGAGTGCATCTTTGTCATCCTGTAGCGATCTAAGACAGGTGTTGAAAAAAAGACGTCTGTATGAGACAATGCCCGTGACATAGACTGGTCTGCGAAACCCGAGTGCTCTGGGGAGAGCAAGGGGTCTTGGGAATGGAGACGCTCTGCTGACAAAAGCTGTTCATCAGAGAGAATTCGTTCATAGGACATGCTGAACTCCTCAGGCATGATCCTCTCAGGGGATAGCACCCGGTCCTGGGACATAGCCCGCAGGGGCCGGCGGGGCCTGTCTCTCTGGTTGGTCTGAGTCATTTTGATGACATTGAGAGGGAGGGTCCCTCGTGCTGCCAGATCTGGAAGGTGCCTTCTTCTCATGTAATATTCATCAGCTTCTTTGTCTGCTATGGAAAAAAAGAAAGTGAAACAGCATTAGGTGTAGCAATTCTTCCTGCAGAGGCATTGTGTAAAGAGAACGGCACTCTGCAACAATGCCTTCCAGTGGGCCAGCTAAAGCCTGAGGATGTGCAAATGTGGAGACACAGCTAGCTTTTCTATGGACTCATAAGAACCGTAGACATGGCCATAGCTATATCACTATGCTGTCAGCCACGGAACACTATGGCCATTTGTTTGGAGTATATTTACGTATAATACATAGGCATACTTTATATATACACACACATATAGCCAGATGTGTGTATGTGCATGTATATATGACATATATGTGTTCAGGTGACACATATACTCTTACAGCATGTCACACAAAATGCCGTTGAGTCCACATTACAATACCATGTGATTTATAGTATCATCAGATCACTGGAAAATTAATCCATGTCACTGATTACCGTTCTAGCAAAGACACACTCTGTTAGCAAAAGAGAAGCCAGGCCAAACAGTTTATCCATTCAAAAAATGACATGTCTAGTATTTTTGTTCACCAGTGGTCACTCAAGGTATCCCTTCATAACTTTTGTAAGGAGAGCAGTAGGCCTATGCGTAGTGGCTAGTATTCGCTTTGGATTTGGATTCAGCCGATTTGGGGGACAGTGATTTGATTCAGTGATTCAAATCACTGTCTGGATTTGATTCAGCTGCTGCCAAATCTCTGAACCACCCAGGTCCATCCCCTGCCCGCTCTCCCAGCCTGGCAATGGCTGCCCCACCCACTCCAGCTCCCGGCACTTGGAAACTCCCCCACCCCAGACTTATTGGTTGCTGCTGGGCGGGGGGCGATCCCCACAACCCCCCACTGCCCTATGCTGTATGGGGGCCTCTGCACGAGCCCCCC